ATACGCATCACAAAAGTTTACCAAACAGTTCATACCCACTATTATTGCCAAGACAAGCTATCAACAAAATAGTAAAAGAGAAGTGAAGGAGAAATCCTTCTTACCTCTTGGCTGCAGGGAATGTACTTTTTGTCGTAACGACGGGTGCGCATCAACTGGAAAAATGGGAGACTGATTTCGTGAGAGCTTTGTTCTTTCTCTGAAAGTATGAGTTTTGTGACAAAGCTTGAGGCGAGCCTGGGGTTTATAGGGGGAGAAAGTAACGATTGATTTCCCTAGGCGAGTGACGCTTGGGCGGAATACATTTCTCACCATTGATTACGACCAGTGTCATCAATCTGCGAGAAGAAGTAGCTGGCACGCTTCAAGAGTCCCTATCGATGCTTCCCTTCATTGGAACAACCAAGCGACAACTCGATTATCTCCTCCACATTAAATGCGCCCTCATTAATGCTCTGAAAGAGAATGTAATTTCAACATGGCTTGCATTTAATGAGCATGGCTGACACTTATTACACACTAGACACGTCTGTTAGAATAAAGATTATTTTATTAAGCAGATTAGCTGTCAAGTGCAACGGATAACATCTGAAGAGGTCGTTTGGATAGAACACTCTTCGCCGCGTATCGGTTTCGAGACAATGTGATTCCTTGTCCTTGGTAAAAATATGCTAAGTATTCTCAAGTCACGAACCACGGATGAGATTTAAAACACATCGGTATGGCACTGAGTGGGGCCTGATCCAGGCCGTTGAACTTATGAGAGAATACCACCTCATGTCGCTTGTGCTACCCTTAGAGACATATGATGCAACCTCCTTGCAGCTCAATCAGCTCGATCAAACGTCATTCAGGACAAGTCAAGTTGCGGCATAATCATGAAGTTCTTAAGGTTCAATCCTTAAACCTTAAAAACTAGGGGACTTCTGTTACGCCTGAAAAGTTAAGGTTGATGTGGACTCTCATCAGTTAGAGCCAATCAAGATTCGGAAAGGTCTTGTGCCATCCAGGCACTGCCACATCGCGCAGTGACAGAAGAGGTATGGTTCTTATCAGTGCAACAGTTGAATATCAGGCTTGCGAGTGGCCAAGGATTATCCACCTGCCCAAGCCCTACGTAATTTGAGGATATTTTTTGTGCAGATAACCAATGAGATGCAAGGAATGACTTGCATGGCACCTACCCACTTGTAGACTCGAATCATTACCTTGAATTCTCCCACTATAAATAGAGGACACCCCTCTCATTTACGGGATTGGCTGATCTTAGTCTAAAATAGCTCACACACTGGCTCCCTCTCCCTCTCTCTCTCTTTTTCTGTATTCCTTCTAGATTGTAACCTAGCTCGCCACACGTGACCTGATCTTACCCATCTATTAATGCAATAGCAGTGGACGTAGGATTCGCTTTTGAGCATCTGAACCACTTTAAATATCGCTTCCCATTCATTGTCTCATTTCATGTTTCTTTATCACGTGTGATTTCTAAGTCTGCTTAGCACTTTACACGTGCGAGTAGTTGGTGTCAAAATCAAGCATCAACAAACATCAATCCAATTCAAACAAATTGAACACAATCATACCAAAATGGGAGACCCAGAAACCTTACAATAACAAGCTCCTGAATCAACAACCGAGTCAACCCAACATCACCCACATCCTCCTTCAAACTTCTAGTAGTCAAATTATACAAACCAGCCCACTTCAGCATCTCATCCACCCTCTCAAAAACCGGTCTCCTTCGTTTCTTTCCATTCAATTATACCTTTCTTCTTCATCTCCAGTTGCCTCCCCTCCTTCATATCTTTAAATATATCACTCATTCTCCATCTGCATCTCTCCATATCTCCCCCCTCTCCTTCTTTCCAAATTCTCCCCAAATACCTCTTCTTTCTTTCAAGTTTTTTCTGTCAGAATTCTCTCCTAATTTGATCTTTATACAGAATCAGAAAACAGAAAAAAAAAACATGTCAACTGCTATAGTTGTCGCTGTCGTCGCCACCTCCTCTTGCTACTCCTCTACAGCCACCTCTTCTCGTAGTTAGAACCAGTACCAACACCACCACCATTCAATTTTATCTTTACTTCCAATCTTCTTTCCTTCTCCGCCGCTAGTTTTACCCTCCTTCAATCTATACAAGACACAAAAAAGGAAAGATTAGCACACGTTTCTGCAATATCTCAACAACAACCGACGTTGATGCAGATCCATGAGGGCACGACCATAATTTGGACGAAGGGAAAAGTGGGTGGTGTGATTGATTGTTGATTGTGTTGAAGTAGTCATCGACAGCATTTGACCTAAAAAAGCGGGAAACGTTTACCACTTTTCCGGCCAAGTGTTGTCAACAATGGCTCCTCTATTTGTACCATTAGACAAATCAACCTGAGATCTACCCAACAATGCCGGCAGTGGTAGTAGACTGGTCGTCGTCAATGGTTCTGAGAACCGCCAGCAACAATTGGCTGGCAATTTTTTAATTTTCAAAATTTCTATTTATTTTATATAATTTTTTAAATGTTTCAATAATTTAAAAGAAAATAAAAAATAAAAATAAACTGAATTTACTATTCTCTCCTTCTGCAGTTAAAAATAACGGAAAAATTGGATGGATGGGTGGGAAACTGTCGTTTTGAAACCTTTTGGATGGGAACTTGTCATTAGGCCAAACCTTGGGTGGGAACTTGTCCTTCGCCCTTTTTTTTAAGGCATATTATTGTTATTGTTATTGTACAAAAACACAATTTGTATTTGGAAAACATTACTAAATATATCTCTACAGTTTTAAAAGAGAGTTAACGACTTTTACCCACCCAAATAATGGTTTAATGACACTTTCTCACCCAGACTTTTAAAATACCATTTTACTATTCAAATCTATATTCTAGCAACAAACAGAGAGCAAACTCGGTCTAGATTATTGAGGTTTTTAAAGAGAGGACGCCGATGAGTCTTTTGATAGTAGAAGGTTGGATTATGGTAGTTAGGATTGATTGGAAAATGCACAAGGGTAGAATAATCTTTTCATTTCGTTCTCATCTCTTTGCCTTTTTCAAAGCCAACAAAAAAAAATTAAAAAAAACCCTCACCATCTTCTTCTTCCTCACTTGCTCCTCCCAACAATTTTTTTTTCCCTCATATCTGAAACGGTGTTAAGAGACTTTTTTGTGTTAATTTGTAACTAATTTAGAGGTTTTTTTAATATAAATTTGAAATAAGTTAATCAAATAATGATTAATCAGAGTAAGATATATATTTTATTGGTCAAAGTAGATCATCGACGACTGGCTAGTTTGAGATTACTGTGACTTTAAATTTAATCAGCTTTTCCTCAACTTTGGAAACAATCAGCTTTGAAAATAATTTGGAATGTGTTTGGAAAATGCTATTTTTATAATTGTTGGGATTCTCAAAATCCAGGATTATGTGGTTGATAAATTAGATTTTGAAATTGTTATTGTATGTATAATGACAAGAAGGACATTTTATTTCTTAAAAAAAAATTATAATTCTAAATTTGTATTTTAAGTATTTGGTAAATACTAAAATCATGTATTGAAATGATTAATATAAATTACTAAAATTAATAATTTAAAAAATTCAAAAATATTGCTGATTGACCGAGGACGATCAACAACGAACAATTATCGGTCAATGATAGAACAAGGTGGTGTGTTTTCACTATGAGTAATGCTACAGTTATCGACGGTAGTACACCGAATGACATGGCAAAATCCTGACAGTTTATAAATATTAAATTAAAATTTATCAACGGTCATGATTTTATTACGTCATTCGTTGCACAAATTTGATGCACTACCGTCGGTGGCTGTATTATTTTCCTTTCACCATTGCTAGTCCTTCCAAGACCTGAACTCAAAATTTGGTTGAATCACCGTATTATTTTTGCCGCAGAAGGTGGTGAAATATTGGGCCACCTTCTGCGGCCAAAATCGACGCTGAAATTTGATGATTCAACCAGATTCTGAAAAATTGAAAGATTTCAATCCTAAGGTGACGCCAATGGACCACCTTTGATTGACATTGACCATCGGTCAAGCATCCTTCTACCACAAATATAGACGGCAAAATCTGGTAATGCAACTAGATTCCAATAGATTGGAAAATTTTGGTTGATGATGCAAACGCGCCAACTTTAACCGGAGGTCAACTATTGTTGACCAACAGTTGACCAACGGTTAACCATTATTGGTGGTGACAACAACCACTCCCATTTCATTTTGTTTTGAACTTATAAATAAATTAAAATGTTTATTGGTGGGAAACTGTGATTCGGCCTAAAGTTTATTTTGGATTTATTATCCTACAGCATACGCAGTTATTGTTTGTGTCAGCTTAATAAACGATTGAGACGTGCGGCGGGCAAACGACGAAGATGATAATTTGATATAGAGTAAACTACTTTTTCCCGGCCAAGGTTTTTCTTAAGGACTTTTCCTACCGAAAAAATTTTAAAATACTATTTTCTTAACCAAAGTTTATAATCTATTAATACTTAAAATACACATTATAGTGATCGATTAAAAATTTGTTATCAAAATTAACCAAAAATCAATTAAAAACAAAAAATTTTAGTTTCGTGATGACTGACAATCAACAAAAAAAGTTAAGTGTCAAAGTAAAAAAAGTTTTATAGAGAGAATACTAAAGGTTTAAATAGTAGTGACGTAGAGAATTTTTGTCATTGGAATTATCTAAAATCGGTTTTGGATAGTAACAAAATATTAATTTTGGGTAAAAAAATGGTATTTTGAAATTTTTTGGATGAGAAAGTGTCATTAAGACAAACCTTGGGTGGGAAAAGGTGTTTACTCTATAATATATATAGTAGAATCTAAAGTCAAAACACAGCATGACTCAGCTCAGCAAGCATTGAGGGCCCGCAGCTACGTTCTTCCTTACATTTGTCGTTGTTGGATGGGTGCAATAGTTCACTCTTATCTTCTTTATCCTTTCCCCTTTCTCAGGCAACCTCAAATAAGTGAAAGAAACAACTGTCCCATCTATATATATTGACCATCTCTACGAAACAGCACAGTTCTGCAAAGAAAGAAAGAGAGATATAAAATGTTGGGTGCTGGAATAACAGCAGCGATGTTGGCAATTGAGTGTTTGGAAGTGGGGTTGAGTACTCTAACTAAAGCAGCATTGAACAAAGGCATGAGTAACTTCGTGTTTGTTGTTTACTATAATGCCTTCGGGACAATCTTTATTCTTCTTCCGTGTTGTCTCATCTTGTACAGGTAGTTAACTCCCATTCATTCACAATTTGGCACTAATGATTGAAGATAGTAATTAACTAGCAAGACTGCACCTTCATCTTTTCTTTTACCCCACAGGAACAGAAGTCGCCCTCCACTCACATTGTCCATTATCTGTAAAATCTTTCTTCTTGGGCTGTTTAGGTACTACTTCTTTAACTCAATTAAGATAATAAATTTTACTTGTGGATTTCTATATCTTTCGTTTAAATTTTCGGTGGATTTGTAGCTGTTTTTCTCAGACTTGCCTGTTTAGCGGGATTGGATATAGCTCTCCAACCTTAGCCTCAGCACTTGTTAATATTACCCCTGCTTTTACATTTATTCTTGTCATAATTTCCAGGTGAGTTCTTCTCTATTCTTTATTTTTAATTACTAGCTAGCTTAAATTTCAGGTTTATATATATATACAAAAGAGAACTTTCAGCGAGAATTGAAATCAACTTAGCCCCAGCAAATGTTAGGATCCCCCATTTAAAGCGAAAAGGGTGGGCATGTGGGTTATAAAGGTTTGAAGACCCTCTCTTGGCAAGCCGATTTTCCAAAGAGGATTCTACCCAAGCCTATGAAAGACCCATCGTCCAGCCCAAATTGTTGACTTATTCTATCAATTAATATATAGCAGTAGATTAGATTTATATGTAAAAAATTCAAGTTACGATTAGGATTTCTGAAATTTATTATGAAGTCTTATGCTGTTTAAAAGTTCATTATGATTTTATGGTGTGCCTTCAGAATGGAAAAGCTAGATTTGAGAGTTAAAAGCAGTCTAGCCAAGTCTATTGGCACCTTGGTATCAATTGCAGGGGCATTAACTGTGACTTTGTACAATGGCCCAGCAATTACGAGTACTTTATCTCTGAATTTACATAATAATTTTTTATCTCCGCATAAAGAATGGGTGATTGGAGGTATTCTCCTTGCATCTGGTAGCTGTTCCCTGTCAATATTGTACATTGTTCAGGTAATCTTTATCAGAATATCTATAATAACTGTTAATGGCTTCCTGAAAATTTAACTGTTTTTCAATATCTAGACCTCTGTTATAAAGGAATTCCCTGAAGAGCTGACGGTAACATTCATTTGTTGCGTCTTTGTGACCTTTCAATCTGCCATACTCGCTCTAATGGTTGAAAGAAACCCAAATGCTTGGAAACTAAGGCCAGACTTGGAGTTGCTGGCTATTGCGTTCTCAGTAAGTGTAAAGAGGAGTTTATGTACATTCCTAGGACTTGTAGCATTTCCCCTTTTTATCAGTTCTCAATATTGTAATAATGTTTAAATGTAGGCAGTTTTTAGTGCAGCACTTCGAGGTCTTGTGCACACATGGGCATGCCATAAGAAGGGAGCTCTATACGTTTCCATGTTTAAGCCGCTTTCAGTAGTCATCGCTGTTGCAATGGGGGTCACTTTTCTTGGGGATACTCTTTATCTCGGAAGGTATAATTTTCTATATGAATTTTATGAGATGGGTGTGTTATTAAATGGAAAAACAAATAAGAGCTAAAATATCGTACCACATAGGTTAGTCATATTCTAATAAATATTTTTCTTTCATTTTGAAGGGATGGTTTAGCTATAATATGGTTCAATTTTTACTTATGTGCAGCGTTCTGGGAGCTGCTATTATTGCTTTTGGGTTTTATTCTCTGATTTGGGGCCAAGGCCAAGAAGAAAAGATGATTGATGACAAAGGAATCAATAACTTGAAGCCATCCTCCTCAACAGTCCCTCTTCTGCAAAACAAAAGCACGGAAGTACAAAATTTTTACCCAGAAGTTAACATAATGCTGAGGCCCTGATGGAGAAATAGGTTCTAAGTCACTATGCTCAATGAAGTACGTGTATGTATGATTGTAAACGAGATAGAAATTTCACTAAAAACCGGTGGATGGCCTGATGTGGTAGAATCATCTATCTATATAGCTATAAGCTAGGAATGAACCAGAGGGATTTGGTCATGAGTTGTGCAGACCAAGTTATAATTTTCCCACCCTATTTTACGCAAAAGAACAAATTGCCATCCTGGTAAACTATCAGTGTTCTACCCGCCAATGGTCTCCATATCCAACCAAATTGCAACTTTACCAATTTTAACCATTAAATTTTCAATTCTAATCTACACATCACCACAGCCGTCACAGGCAACCACACCACCATAGACATTCACTCCGACAACCACCAAAATCACCCCACCCTCACAAAGACACATGTCACAAGGCCTATTTTCGTCTCTAGGCACTGCGCGGCACAAGCACACCGAGCACTTGTAAGCCTACCTCAAGTTGTGCATTCCCCCTGTTACAAATCACAAACACAAGACAACAGAGGCTAAAGAGAGTCAATGCACTACATATACGGGAAATCCCCAACCTTATATTATATTTCCGAATACAAGGATAACTCAAGCACACACACAGCGTTTCCCACTGTTTACAATCTGATACTCACTCACAGATTCGCACTCAAGTTACAACAAGGCTTACAAAACACATAACCCTTGCATTCTCACTCTCTATATCACGAATGTGCAATCTGCCAGCCTTATATACAAAGGGCACAACAGTTACATAACAGTTTTACAATCTTATCAGCAGTTACATGATAGTTGGTTTACATACAAATGAATCTGGACACATATAACTGTCCCACAGCCTTGGTCCAACAACCATGCAGCCTTGTCTGACTGTTTCCATCATCTAGTGCACACTCCCATGCACCTCACGCACGTAACTTTCTGTCTCATGCATGAACTCAGCCACTCATTGGTTGTCTTGCATGCTTGCACACATCCCAGCTCGTGTGCCACTATCTAGCCTGCTCATAAGCACACACGCCCATGTTACAACTTGCAAGTGCCCACACCCGCATGCCATCTCATCAGTAAAGTGTTCGGCGTCCCAACACTCAAACACCCCACGCCTCATCTCAGCCATCCTTGTTCAGCACACACCCGTGTGTTGTCTTGGCGAGGCTGTGGCTAAGGATGAAAGCCACACACCTGCCCTTGCCCTTTGTAAGGGTCTTACAAACCAACCCCACCAGAAGAGTCCGACGTCCTCGTCGGAATGGTGGCAATGTACTCCTGCACAACATCCTCAAACTGCCACAGATCTATGTCCCTTTCCCATGAAACCTCGCTGTCTTTCCCCCTCTTCCACTTCACCAAATATTCAATTCGACGATTCTTCTTATGCTGCCCCATCCTCCTGTGATCTAAAATTTTCTCAATTTCATCATCAAACTGTTTTCTGATCATGGGAGGAGCTCTTTTAGCTTGGGTCCTTGAAGAATCACCTTTATCTGCATGGAAAGGTTTCAAGAAGCTCACATGGAATGTGGGATGTACCTTGATCCGCTCAGGTAATTTCAACTTGTAAGCAACAGCACCCACTCTACTTACAACTTCAAACAGTCCATCATACTTTGGAACCAATGCCCTATGCACCCGTTTGCTGTCGATTTTCTTCCAAATCTGAGGAGTGAGCTTGAGTAGTACTTGGTCACCCACATCAAACTCTAACGGCCTCCTCTTAGCATCAGCATACTTTTTCATCCTCCTGCTTGCCTTCCGCAAGCTGTCTTGAGCCTGGTCAATTATCTCCTATCTGTCCCTAGCCACCTTGTTAGCGACAGGAAATTTCCTCTTTGCTGGCTGTCTAGCAATCTCAATTGGGGTCAAAGGTTGTTGCCCCAACATCGACTCAAAAGGACTCAGCTCGGTCGAAGATGACTTGTGCAAATTGTAGCAAAACTGTGCAGAATCCAGCAACTCTAGCCAATTTCGTTGACTAGCTGTCACATAATGCCGAAGATACTCCTCCAGCAATGCATTCACCCGTTCAGTCTGACCATCCGTTTGTGGATGATTAGCTGTAGAAAACTTCAGTTCGGTCCCCATCATGTTGAATAGAGTAGGTGGCATCCCGATCACTACCCAAGTCTACTGGTACTCCGAAATTTCACCACTTTTTTATAAGACAAGGCAGCAGCTGTCTCCGTTGAACAAGCTTCTGGTGTGCTATAAAAACTGCATATTTCGAAAATCTATCCACAACAACAAGGACAGAAGACATACCTTCTACCTTTGGAACCCACGATGAAGTCAAGAGAGGCTGACACCCAAGGCCTCCGAATGGGTAGAGGTTGCAACAACCCGCTACCTTTCTCCTTTCTGTCTTGTCCAGTTGACACACCAAACAAGTTTTCACGTAGGACTCAATATCAGCTTCCATTCTAGGCCAATAATAATCCCGTGTTAATAATGCCAAAGTTCTCTCCCTACCCGGATGTCCAGCCCAAGGGAATCGTAGACTTCTTTCAGCATACCGTCTCAATCCCCCCTTACTTGGAACAAACAGCCTATCTCCTTTGGCAACAATAACCCATCCTCTAACTAGTAACGCCATATAGTACCATCCTGAACTTGTGTCACCAAGTCCTTTACTCAGCATCCTGTTCAGCCGCCCCTCGTAACCTGTCTAATATGTCAGACTCAACCCGAGTTATTGCATATAGAGCAGCAACCCCTGTTTCCTGCTCAACGTATCAGCAACCTGATTATGCCTTCCTGGCTTGTGTTGCCATGCAAAATCGTACTCAGCCAAAAACTCTTGCCACCGGCCTGTTTGGGGACAACTTCTTCTATTTTTTTGAAGAAGGTGTTGGCGACATTGTCTTCAACACTCAAATTTTGTGCCCAGCAAGTAAACTCTCTACACCTGCAAACAATGAACACAGCCACCATCTCTTTCTCATGTGCAGAATACCTCTGCTCTGCCCCATTCAACTTTCGGCTCTCAAATGCAATGGGATGTCCCTCCTGGACCAACACCCCATCGATAGCTTTCTCCGAACATCTGTATGTACTTCGAACGGTAACTCAAACTTGGAATCTCAACACCGGTTTAGAGCAATGGCTTCCTTCAACCTTTCGAAAGCCTTGAACTGATTCTGTCCACTCCCATCGTTGCCCCTTTTCAACAAATCTGTCAACGGTACGGCCTTCTTTGAGTATCCCGCAATAAACTTGCAGTAATAGTTTGCTAATCCTAAGAAAGATCTCAACTCCGGGACTTTTGTAGAGTCACCTACTCTACAATTGCCTGCACCTTCTTAGGATCCATTCTCACTTGGCCCTACTCACCAAGTGCCCCAAGACATTATCTCTTGTTTAGCAAACTCACACTTCTCCATTTTCACATACAACTGATGTTCTCTCAACCGCGTTAGTACCCTTCTCATATGAATCAAATGCCATCCAAATTTCGACTATATATCACATATCATCCAAATATACCACCACAAACTCCCAAGAATTCATACAGTACATGATTCATTAATTGCAAAATGTAGCTGGTGCATTTGTCAAGCCAAATGGCATGACTAAGATCCATAAGACCATACCTGGTCACACAAGTGGTTTTGGGCTCATCTCCTGCAGCAATTATGACTTGCCAATATCTCGATCGCAGTCTAACTTAGTGAAAACCGAAGCTCCACTCAGCCTATCCAAGAGGTCTTGAACAAGGGGAACAGGATACTTGTTCCGAATTGTCACCTTGTTCAATGCCCTATAATCCACACACATCCGAAGGAACCATCTTGCTTTTCTTAAACAACATAGGAGCGCCATACGGAGCCTTTGACGGTCTCGCTGCACCTGCATCAAGTAAATCATCAAGTTGTTTTTGGAGTTCTTCAACTCCATGGGTGACATTCTGTAGGGTGGACGAGCAGGTGGGAATGCCCCTAGTTCCAACTCATCTTGTGATCATTTGCTCGTCTTGGAGGAAGTTCTTTTGGCAACTCCCGTGACATAACATCAGCAAAATCTTCAACAATTCTGCCATTGCATCTGACACTCGACCTTCTTATCATGTTTGATTTCTATCAACGCTGCCAAATACGTTTCCTGCCCTTTCTTTAGCCCACGCTTTACTGCCGTGGCTGAGATAGTAGTAAGCTTAGCTTGCCTGGTTTGCTACTCACTCCAAGTAACAACAAGGTACAAAACAGGGACTTGATTCATGATTAATCATCATGCCATTCAGCAAGGCACCACTGATACCTTGGCTACTTTAAAAAAATCTATTCCCAAAATAACATCAAAATCATCTAATGGAATAGCAGTTAAATGAATTTTACCCATCCAGCAGCCCACACCAACCTGCACGTTGTAAGCCATTCCAGTCACCCCATGTGTACTCGAATTCATAGCCTTCACCGTTGTAGGACTCTTGGAAAGTGCTAGCCCCAACTTGGACAACCTGATCTGCCACAAAGTTATGAGTTGCTTTTGTGTCTAGCAAAGCTTTAACTTGGCTATCCCTCACTTTCAAATCCACAAACAGTAGAGCATTTCAAGCGGCACCCTTGCTCACAACTCCAAGGTAAGTATCACCCTTGTTGCTTTGAATCTGCTTCTGCCCTCATGCATTCATCAACTACATCGGATTCATAGTGACTTGCTCACCACTAGACTCTCCCTCTTCACCCATCAAGCATTCAGCTTCTCTCTTTGGGCAATCCCTTGCCCTATGTGGCCCTCCACATATGAAACAACCGACATCATTTTTCCCTCTTGTTTTCCTTGGAAAAACTACTGGTAGCAACGCCTCCCTTTTCACTAGCAGAATTTCTCTTCTGAAGGAAGTCCTTTTTCTTGCTTCCCTTAAATTCCCGGTTGTCCTTCTTTTGGATTTCGCTGCAACAACAGGATCTCTCTCCTTACTATATCAAATCAATCAACCCATCTGCTGCAGCAATAGCACTAGGCAGATCATGCACCTTCTACCTTCGCAATTCCACTGCGCCCAGCCTTGCAAACCTTACATAAAGTTAAACAATTTGCCTACTCGGACATATTTTGTATGTCTAACAACAAGGAACTAAACTCCTTGACATACTCCCTCACATACCCTTTTGTTGGAGTCTTCATACGGTCCCTAGCTTTCCATGA